TTGTTCACTCACATCTGAACTTTGGTCTTGTTCCAGGACCTAAGTCTTGCATACGTGTACATTTTTAGCAGTCAGGTTTATTTTTATATGGTGACTGTTTGTTTCTTTTTCAGGCTTATGCACTCCGCCTTTGGAGGTAACTAAACTTTTTACCACCCTGTGAATGGGTTTTTAAGGATGACAATAAGGAGGTTTCCCACATGTGGTTCAACACCTTCATATCAAGGCAATAGGACCAACAACTTTTATTGTGCTGGTTGGCAGTCTAAACAGGGGAATATGTGCTGGTTGGCAGTCTAAACAGGGGAATATGTGCTGGTTGGCAGTCTAAATAGGGGAATATGTGCTGGTTGGCAGTCTAAACAAGGGAATATGTGCTGGTTGGCAGTCTAAACAAGGGAATATGTGCTGGTTGGCAGTCTAAACAAGGGAATATGTGCTGGTTGGCAGTCAATATTGAACAGACAGGAGATGTGCTGGTTGGCAGTCAATATTGAACAGACAGGAGATGTGCTGGTTGGCAGTCAATATTGAACAGACAGGAGGAGATGTGCTGGTTGGCAGTCTATATTGAACAGACAGGAGAAGATGTGCTGGTTGGCAGTCTATACAGGAGGAGATGTGCTGGTTGGCAGTCAATATTGAACAGACAGGAGAAGATGTGCTGGTTGGCAGTCTATATTGAACAGACAGGAGGAGATGTGCTGGTTGGCAGTCTAGACAGGAGGAGATGTGCTGGTTGGCAGTCTAGACAGGAGGAGATGTGCTGGTTGGCACTCTAGACAGGAGGAGATGAGCTGGTTGGCAGTCTAGACAGGAGGAGATGTGCTGGTTGGCAGTCTAGACAGGAGGAGATGTGCTGGTTGGCACTTAAGACAGGAGGAGATGTGCTGGTTTGCACTCAAAACACAACGGTCAGGTGGAGATGTGCTGGTTGACACTTAAGACACAACACAGGAGGAGACGTCCTGGTTGGCACTTAAGACACAATAGACAGGAGGAGATGTGCTGGGTGCACTCAAAACACAACGGTCAGGTGGAGATGTGCTGGTTGGCACTCAAAACACAACGGTCAGGAGATGTGCTGGGTGCACTCAAAACACAACGGTCAGGAGATGTGCTGGTTGGCACTCAAAACACAACGGTCAGGAGATGTGCTGGGTGCACTCAAAACACAACGGTCAGGAGATGTGCTGGGTGCACTCAAAACACAACGGTCAGGAGATGTGCTGGGTGCACTCAAAACACAACGGTCAGGAGATGTGCTGGGTGCACTCAAAACACAACGGTCAGGAGATGTGCTGGTTGGCACTCAAAACACAACGGTCAGGAGATGTGCTGGGTGCACTCAAAACACAACGGTCAGGAGATGTGCTGGTTGGCACTCAAAACACAACGGTCAGGAGATGTGCTGGGTGCACTCAAAACACAACGGTCAGGAGATGTGCTGGGTGCACTCAAAACACAACGGTCAGGAGATGTGCTGGGTGCACTCAAAACACAACGGTCAGGAGATGTGCTGGGTGCACTCAAAACACAACGGTCAGGAGATGTGCTGGGTGCACTCAAAACACAATGGTCAGGAGGAGATGAGGAGTGAACAGTGTTGAGATAGATCATTACGGTCTAAGGAGAATGGCGCTGCGAGGAGTTACCAGGGGATCAAGCCGACGCTCAACACTCAGGGGAAGGATGAGACAGATATACAATCAGACGGTTACTGGTACCATCGGAACTGGAACTCCTCGCTGGCTGCTGAAGATGGGGAACTGAGCACTTATGGGAGTGCCCAGAGTGCTGTAGATTCTTAATTCAACATTCTCAGCAACAAAGTATCCATGGGGTGCCAGATCCCACATCAATTCTGTCAACAGGGGATCTAAAGTTGTGGGCTGAGGTCCTTTTTCTGTCAAAAATGACCCCCTTGGCTCCTAGCTTTAATTGTGTACCAGGTTAAGTCCTGGGAAGTAAATGCAGTCGGCATAATGTTGACCACATTATCCATACGAGTGCTGATTGGTCTATACAAATATACGAGGTCCTTTACTTACCTTAGATGCGGGAGGGTGGGGAGAACTGCTCTAGGACCAGTCCTATCCAATGATGAAATTCATTCTGTAATGAGCTTCTGCGGCCACCCTTACAATTGTCATTCAATAGTTGACAGTAGAGCTACACTTAACTCATTTTACTTAGGAGCCAAATATGTTTTAATGTGGATCATCAGGGACCAGACGCCTGAGCCACAGCATAGATAGATCATTAATTCAATTCAACTAACAATGATCAGCGAGCCTCTTGCTAGGCCACCAGTTGAATAGCCCTGTGATTTGTCTCTAACAAATTTGATTTCAGCAAATCCATATATCACTTGCCTATTATAAAATACTCGTTTGGGGAAAGCATGGGCAGTGGCTCTATCCTTTTGTGTCCTGTCACCATTGCATTCAATGCTTTGCCAGAAACTTTTAAAAAACAGTAGAGATTTTCTGGACAAAACCAAGCTGTTAAGCCAAATTAATACTCAAGCTTGTCAGAGGGTAAAAAGGCAAGCAGCTCACAGTCTAAGAGTATTGAGTCATCTTTGTATTCTATTCTTTCCATCCGTTTGAAAAATAAATAATTTCATTTCCATTAAATTTACGTTCACAATTACCAGTGTCCGGCCAAGCTCCCTATCTCACCCGTCCACTGCTTTCCGGACCAAATATCTTTACAAGTTGGAGTACCCTGAGTGCCGTCACAGGCACACAAACTAAACATTTATGCTAGAAGTTATCACTGATTAACAAATCTTTATTAAAAAAAGAATAAAAAGATACAAAAATCTTTTGGGGATGTGCTTTATTATTATTATAAGACAGGCTATCAGTCATAACATAATACAGTCGAGTCTGAATAAGTAGAAGTTGCAAGGATCTAAGAAAATGCTTCCACTTATCAGGACTTCTACTTATCCAGACAGCACACACAATAGAGAAAATTGCCGGGACTAAGCTGGTCATGTCGACTTAGCGTAAATTCGACTTATCCGAGTTCGACTTATGAGGACTTTACTGTAGCAGTATTTTTCATTATTTTCCTGCAAAACTGGTAATAAACAATATCAACCACTGAGTGTGTACATCATAGCTGTGGATGTGTCGGAGTGAGGGGATAAATAAACCAATCAAGAAATGACATCACTGCACTCCAGATAATCCCATATGTGCTCCAGCTCCTTTCTCAGCAACAAAGCCTAGCATATGATAGCACAACGTCCAGTTGGAGAATGGAGGTGGAGGCAGTCACGGCTGCCTATTGCTGGCCTGAGAATTAGCTGTAGACACATGCCATGATTGTAACTGACTCACAGAGCATGTTGAGAAAGGTGAAAACAGGCATGCTTCGTGCAGAGTGGCAAGCATCCTTCAGAGGTCCCAGGTAGTTTTCATCCTTTGGATATTTTCTCAAAGTCATGCAGATGTGTTGGGAAATGGACAGGTAGACAGACTGGCTGGCTCTGCACCACAAGTTAGATATTGTGAGAGCCCTTGGGAGTGAGTGAACAGTGTTGAGATAGATCATTACCGTCCAAGGAGAATGGCGGGCGCTCAACACTCAGGGGAAGGATGAGTCGAATATACAATCAGACGGTTACTGGTACCTTCGGAATTGGAACTCCTCGCTTGCTGCTAAAGATGGGGGACTGAGCACTTATGGGAGTGTCTCGAGTGCTGTGATGTTGATTCTTAATTCAACATTCTCAGCAACAAACAAAGTTTCCATGGGGTGCGAGCTCCAACAAGATTTAAGTGTGTGCCCCCCCCACCCCCCTCATTCATTCATTCAGTAGCATGTCCCTCGCGGAACCTCGCTGCCATAACAACCCTCCGGAAAACCTTCCTATCCTGAGCAAGATGTCCTGCGTCTGATACACCCATCTGGAGATCATCTGCCACATCCTGCACCCATCTTCTCCTTGGCCTTACTCTTCCTCTCTTCCCAGGCATATACCTCCCCCCCCCCCCCCCCCAACCCAGTAGAAAATCGGTTGCACTGCACTTTTTCCTTATGCTCACTGGCTGTAAACCGACTGGCAGAGAAGTTTGTTTTCCAATTCTATATTTAGATCTTGTTTCAGAACTTTGTATGCACATCTATTTTACAGATCTGGCTTATTTGTAAGGAAGTTGTTGGTTTCTCATTTGTCAGGCAGACCGGCTCTGACTTCAAAGCAAACATCCCCATGGTTGTCTTTTAAAGCATGCTGGGGCCCCAGAACACACAAAATAAAAGTGTGTCCTTCAATAGCCTCTAATGCAGTGTTTCCTATTTGGTGGTCAACAGAACACACTGAATGGGTCTGTGATATTTACAAACAATAAAACACTCTGTTGTAGAATGCAATCCTTTTTGCAATTCCCATATTTATGAGTCATAATAAATTCTTTAGCAGGACTTAAAAAACCCTGTCCATGGCAGATCAGTGATAATAAGAGGAGTCCCCAGGTCTGAGCTAATTGAGAATCACTGCTCTAATGTGCTGTATTCTTCTTCACGTCCACCGGCTGTAAACTCTAGTGAAATGTTCAGGGTGTTTGTCCATCTCTGGACTTTACTCTTGCTCCAGAACCTGAGTGTTGGTTCATTGCCCCTCCGGCAAATGTACTCTGGTTTCAAAGGAAGTCCCCAGTCAGTTGACTCCTAGAACACGCTTGTTGGGGAGGCAGTGGGTCTATTCTTGTTTCCCCCACTATGGGGCCCCAGAACCCACATGGCGAATGTACAGTATAAATAGGGAAAATATTAGAAAATAGCGAACACAAAAATCATCAACATAAATTAATTTCACTGCCTAGTCACATTTCATGTCTTGGTTCTTTATACTGTTATGTTTGGTCTATTTGCAACTGTAGATAAAGACACTAGCGTTGTACGCTAAGAATATTCATTCTACCTCGGCAGGCGTTAACTTTGCATCACATCCAGTGAAGTTATGGGTAAATTCTTGCCCGAGGTTAGAACTCCATCTTCAAATCTGTAGCAGAAACAGTCAAACATCACATTATAATCAGCAAACCATTCACATGGGTAAACATTCACATATAGTGACATTAACATAAGTTTAACATTCATATACGCTGAACATTTACATGAGTTAAACATTTATACAAATTCAAAACTGACAAACATTTACAGGTGAAGCGGCACAAACATGACTGTTTCAAAAGTTGAATGTATCATAAGCTGAAGGCTGGTCTGGGGGAGGAACAGTCTGCAGTCCGTGGCTCAACGGCCAGTAGCAGCTGTTGTCATTCTGTGTAAATGTAGATTATCTTTGATGTCATCAGTCCAGTTTCTCCATGGGCCTCTTCTTGCTCAGTCAATGATCGCTAATAATGCCACACAAGGGGTCTCTGCAGCTAAGTGGTTAAACCCTCTTTTTGTGTGCTCTGAAGGAAGTGGGTTTCATCTACAGGCTTCGCACAAATACCAAATACAATTTTTATAGAGATTCCCACAGATTCTGGGCCCTACTGGGGATTGGGGAGGGAGAAGAGAGAATAGATCCACTGTTCTCTCAACAAGCAAAGTGTAAAATGCATACCATATTTATGACCCTTTGAAAATAATGTTTGCTCATCCTTTTGCACTTACCACTTTGTTCAATCAATCTGCCCTTTCTAGAAGACTCCAGACCTCGCAGGAATGCCTCAAATGTCTGCACGTAAGGCCCAAGACTAGTTCTCTTGTAATCTGCAACAAAGGTTGACTAGATAGAGATAACTGCAACCACGGCCACAATTCTGGTTTAGACAATTCTAATCGTGGCAATAAATGTTTACAAACTAAGCAAGTCTTAAAATGGGTATACAAAAATATACAGTATCAGAAGTCAAGGTATGTGGCCCAATATGGACATTTTATATCTAGTGATGACTCATCTGTAAACTAAAAATATACAGTATCAAAAGTTGATTTATGTGCCTCAATACTGACATCATCTATCTAGTGATGACTGATCTATAAACAAAATATTACCTTAAGACAAGGAAATTACACATTCTTTAATTTACCATCAGAGTTCTTTAACTTACTGTTACCAAAGTGCCAATACATCCACAGGAAGGGTGGTCACTGGAGGACAATGAGTTGTAGGTTTCAGATACAAGTCGCACACAAAAACAAATGTGTAGAATATAAAAAGCTTATGTGGCTAAAAGGTTAACATCTTGTGTGGGTGAAAGATTATAAACATGTGTGGACAAAAGATGAATATGTGTGGGCAAGAGGATAGCAGCTTGTGTGGGTAGAGATTATCAACCTGTGTGGGTAGAGATTATCAACCTGTGTGGGTAAAAGGTTAACCACTTTCACAAAAAAATAGCAAAATGACAGACAATTTTTACCTTTAAGTTTCTTTCCCTCATTATCTTTCTCTCCAGGTTCCACCTTGTTCAGTTCCTCAAGCAAACCACTAAACAGACACAAATACAGTAAACCCTCATTTTTCATCCACGCACGAATGTATTATTAATCCTCAATTAGCATGTTTTTTTTTTCTTCAAAAGAAACTTTTTGTGTGCCTTGGAATTAATTTTAACGAGGCTTTACTGTAACAATGGGGAATATTTTGGGGTGTGGTTAATTTACATAACAATATTTTGGCCTGGTTAATTGTTCTGTATCTGGTCAAATGAATGGTTCAGATGAACTGGCAAGTCCCACACATTGTAAACAAACTGATCACATGTTATATCTCAAACTTCCGTGGCATTATATACAAGTGTACTAAGGACTATGTCATTTGTGAAAGGAACTCATATTTTGTGCTTCATTAGACCCTAAAATAAATTCTGTGGGATTCATCTGATACATATATACATATCAAAATGTCATTAGAAAACAAATTACCCTGTTTATCACAAAGTGGGATCTTAGGCATAACTTCTCCTTTTCATTCATCCTAGTGACACACGTAGACAGTATGGAAAGAGCATGATGGTCGAACCTTTAAGACTTTGCTGTTATGTAGTAGGATCTGTGATTGATGGACATTTAAGACTTTGCTGTTATGCAGTAGGACTTGTGACTGATGGACATTTGAGTTGAATCAGTTGATTGACAGTGGCAGATTTTCATGGTGTACCTCAAAGAGGTGGCAATAAGGCTGATGGTCGACAAAGGATTAAGGAGACAGGACTGTATGAGGATATACTGTCCACAGGAGATACTCGTCTGAGCTGTGAACAAATCTCTTAGTCCTGGGCTGAATCTCAGGAGTTCAGTAGTTCTTTTACTCGACAAATGTTTGAACTGAGGTTTTTCATAAAGAAGGAAGTCATCGACCATGCACTGGGCGCGCTGATGAGAGCCTAAAGATTTCTGGGAACCGCATCTCTGGGGGCAAAACAAACTCCAAAATCCCTGGCAAGCTGGTTCTTCACAATGACAATTCTCCTTTAGCAGTTGCATAAGGGCTCACAAAATGGGTCACAGTATACCTTTGATTAGGCCTTAAGGTATGCAGTCATTCTATCCTCTGCTTCATTCCTGTTTAAAGATCACTCACCTAAATATATTTCTAACAACAAATTTGTATGACAAGTTACCTTTTTTTTTTTTTAAATTTTTAAAAATGTGTTAGTGATCTGGGTAAAATGAAACATATTTTTCTGAAATGTCTAGGTTTCGTGCCTGGAGTGAAAAGGTTTGGGGAAAAAAAAATGGAAGACTGAAACAGGATAAACACAAGATAACTTCTAGAATGTACAAAAGGTCAAGCCATGAAAAAATGATAATTTTAGGACAATGACATATACAAGATGTCTGAGAACGGCAGCAAGAAGACCCGGACAGAACAAAGCAGGAGTGAGGTCATAGGAGAAAAGCTGTCACAGAACTAAATTATGTACAATAGAAAGACAACAAATCAAATGGTTTGTCTACCCAGAGAGAATGCCTTGCAGTGACATACCACACAATGACATACCATACAAGATACACACGACAGAGAACATGAGGGAGACCAAGAACAAACTCCAATGATAACATCAGGGAAAGCTCACGGTGTCCATGGTTGAGGTGACCAGAGGAGCCAGAAGCAGAACCTTAAATCTCCCTCGACGCCTGAAGCGGCTCAAGAGGAAGTGAAGAAACAGACACGAGTCCACGGTGAACTGACCGGACTTACCTTATTGTAGGGACGGCAAAAGGGTCAAAGTCATCAATGGTCTTTGGGTCCATGGGCACACACACGCGACCTGCAACATGACATTTCCCCATTATTTCTTCTCTCCAATGGCAGAAGAGTGGCAACAAAATTTTCATGTCACTGTTTAGTTTATCTAAGCTGCATAAATATAAGATATAGTCTACATTATCTTAAGTTGTTCTTCCACTGGGAAAGTTCTAAACTTTCTTAGATATGCATCATCATCTTCTTCTGTGCTCGCCCTTAAAAGAGCAGTAAGCATTGTGGTTTACAGTTAAGCAGTGATATCTTTGCCTTGACACAAAACATTGGGTGTCAGCATATCCTTTATTTGTGACTTTTGATGACGTGCTTGTTAAGTGGCAGCAGATCTGTTACATCATCCTGGAATACAATCATGGAATCAAGTGAGTACAGAGTCTGTTCTGGAAGCGAGTACAGAGTTTGTTCTGGAAGCGAGTACAGAGTTTGTTCTGGAAGTGAGTACAGAGTTTGTTCTGGAAGCGAGTACAGAGTTTGTTCTGGAAGTGAGTGCAGAGTTTGTTCTGGAAGTGAGTACAGAGTTTGTTCTGGAAGCGAGTACAGAGTTTTTTCTGGAAGTGAGTACAGAGTTTGTTCTGGAAGTGAGTACAGAGTTTGTTCTGGAAGCGAGTACACAGTTTGTTCTGGAAGCGAGTACACAGTTTGTTCTGGAAGCGAGTACACAGTTTGTTCTGGAAGCGAGTACAGAGTTTGTTCTGGAAGCGAGTACACAGTTTGTTCTGGAAGCGAGTACAGTTTGTTCTGGAAGCGAGTACACAGTTTGTTCTGGAAGCGAGTACAGAGTTTGTTCTGGAAGCGAGTGCAGAGTTTGTTCTGGAAGCGAGTGCAGAATTTGTTATGGAAGCGAGTGCAGAGTTTGTTCTGGAAGCGAGTGCAGAGTTTGTTCTGGAAGCGAGTGCAGAGTTTGTTCTGGAAGCGAGTGCAGAGTCTGTTCTGGAAGCGAGTGCAGAGTCTGTTCTGGAAGCGAGTGCAGAGTCTGTTCTGGAAGCGAGTGCAGAGTCTGTTCTGGAAGCGAGTGCAGAGTCTGTTCTGGAAGCGAGTGCAGAGTCTGTTCTGGAAGTGAGTGCAGAGTCTGTTCTGAAAGCGAGTGCAGAGTCTGTTCTGGAAGCGAGTGCAGAGTCTGTTCTGGAAGCGAGTACAGAGTTTGTTCTGGAAGCGAGTACAGAGTTTGTTCTGGAAGCGAGTACAGAGTCTGTTCTGGAAGCGAGTGCAGAGTCTGTTCTGGAAGCGAGTGCAGAGTCTGTTCTGGAAGCGAGTGCAGAGTTTGTTCTGGAAGCGAGTACAGAGTTTGTTCTGGAAGCGAGTACAGAGTCTGTTCTGGAAGCGAGTACAGAGTCTGTTCTGGAAGCGAGTACAGAGACTGTTCTGGAAGCGAGTACAGAGTTTGTTCTGGAAGCGAGTACAGAGTTTGTTCTGGAAGCGAGTACAGAGTCTGTTCTGGAAGCGAGTACAGAGTCTGTTCTGGAAGCGAGTGCAGAGTCTGTTCTGGAAGCGAGTGCAGAGTCTGTTCTGGAAGCGAGTGCAGAGTTTGTTCTGGAAGCGAGTACAGAGTTTGTTCTGGAAGCGAGTACAGAGTTTGTTCTGGAAGCGAGTACAGAGTCTGTTCTGGAAGCGAGTACAGAGACTGTTCTGGAAGCGAGTACAGAGTCTGTTCTGGAAGCGAGTACAGAGTCTGTTCTGGAAGCGAGTACAGAGTCTGTTCTGGAAGCGAGTACAGAGTCTGTTCTGGAAGCGAGTACAGAGTCTGTTCTGGAAGCGAGTACAGAGTTTGTTCTGGAAGCGAGTGCAGCGTTTGTTCTGGAAGCGAGTACAGAGTTTGTTCTGGAAGCAAGTGCAGAGTTTGTTCTGGAAGTGAGTGCAGAGTTTGTTCTGGAGCTCAGGGGAATGAGATCCGACACATTAATTATCAAAGTTTGAGATACACATCAAAGCTAAGTGTAGTTTTTACAAATACAGAGACAGTTTCTCATAAAAGTATTGGCTGCTGGAGGAGAGGGAAGGTGTGTGGAAGGAGATGTAAGAGAGGAGGGGTGTGAGGGAGATGTGTGGTGTAACAGACAGAAGGGTGTGGGGAAGAGAAGGATGTGAGGTACAGCAGAGGGGTGTAGGGTGAGTGGAGGTGTGTGAGAAAGAGTGGGTGCAAAGAAATCACTAGATGAACCAGAAGCCTGTAAGAGTCTATGGTAAAGATACAGGACAGAAGGTGGCGGAGACTCCCTACAGACGACCTTCAATGAGAAGATGAAGATGGTGATGAACTAACTCAGCTACAACTGACCAGTTTTAGGGTGTATACAGAAAGGGCTCTTAAGGAGATGGTTGATCCCTTTGCTGACGTTGATGTCCAGTCGGGGGTAGCACAGCTGCAGTTTGATCTCCGCTTCCACGTGCCCTTTGATCATATCTTTCTGAGGGAGACAGCAGATATATCACACAACATATCAAGGAAACAATTGTGATGAAACATTTTCAAAAATAAAAATTAAAATTAAATATTTATTTCCGACATAAATAAGATCCCCATGTTGGTTATGGGATCTCACGAGAGGACCCCCCCCCCCCCCCCCCCCTCCCCCGAGTAAAAGGCAACTCATTAGGGGTCTGCTGAAAACGTGTTGGACCAAAAGTTAGATATCACAGCCTAGCTGTAAAAATGCAACATGCCAACAGCCCTTTTATGGGTCAATGCAGAAAAAAAAATGAGACATTTCTAAGGGTAAAGGGGGGGGGGGTGGGGGGGGGGGGGGGTGGGGGGGGGGGGGGGGGGGGGGGGGGGGGGGGGGGGGGGGGGGGGGGGGGGGGGGGTACCACGAAATGTCTGTCTGAGGGAATGAGAGATTTCTGACAGTAATGCCTGCCTGTACAACATTTTAGGACGGTGTAAAATAGGCCCACCTTGAGCCCGAGGATTAAGTGCCTCATGGCTAAGGCATGTTAGAATTTTATTTTGCCCCCCCCCCCCCTCTCAAATAAACAACATCTTTGCTGAGGATTTTCACCCGGGTCTCCTAAATAAATGAGAACCCAGCATTCTGAACCTTTGACCATCCACTCCCTAATATATTTTTCTGAGATAAATGAAACATTTCTTTCACATTTGACAGGAGCCTGTCCTTCAAGGACCATGTGGAGAGTGTTGTCACAAGATGCCAAAATGGACTTAATGCACTTACTTAAGACTATGACTGCAATGGACATAGAGCAGAGAATGCTTTTCACATTATATCAGCACCTGATCCTGTCAGTGGTGGATTATGGACTAGGACTGCTTACTGTCTCAAAGAGTCAGATGGACAAACTAGAATGCAGCCATGCGGGTCAATCTGGGTTATACAAGAGACACCCCTGTTTGTATGCGGTAGATCCTTGGTTTGTCGACTGTTGCAGGTAGGCACAAGGTGCTGCAGATGAAGTCATATCTCAGAGTTGCTGCAGATACAGATCACCCTTTGCACAAAGCTCTGGGCGCAGTTAAGGGTCAGCGGCTGATAAGAGGGAAGTCATCGATGGCTCAGGCAGAAGACACAATCAGACAGGTTTGCATCCTGAAGAACATTAGGCGAGGAGAGGAGTGGGTCAAAGTGCCACCTGAACAGTCAGACTTGTGTAGAGTCATAATCACGCTGAGCCGGGAATGCAGAGACTGTCCAGCAGGTGCCACAGACGTGGAAATTCAGCAATTAATTCAAGATAATACTCACTCAGAGGATTTGATCATTTACACAGACAGTTCAATGTCAAGAGGTAAAAAAAGTGCTTGGGGTTTCTTAGCAAAAGATAACGGTCGACGTTTGGTGCAGGAGAGCCTAGCATATGATACCACAACATCCAGCTTAAGAATGGAGGTGGAGGCGGTCACTGCAGCTTTCCGCTAGTTAGAGAGCATGACACACATATCGTGATTGTAACTGACTCAGAAAGCATGCTGAGGAAGGTCAGGACAGGCATGTTTTTTGGAGAGTGGCGCATGCTTCCCTGCCGCGGTCACGAGTGAAGAGTATTGTCTAGATCTTTTCTCCAGGATATGTCCTTGTGTTGAAAAATAAGCAGGCAGACAGACTAGCTGGCTCTGTACAACTTGGTAGAATACTGATGCATGATAAGGCAGACATGGTTAGGGATGTGTGGAAGAGCGTGTACAATTCAGAGGAGCAAATGGATCAGCAGTCTGGTGAGACATGCAGCGGGGAGTGACGAGGGATTCTGGCCGATCCTCGGCGCTCAGAGGAAAGGCAAGATGGACGTTTAATCAGAATACTACTGGCACCATTAGTATTGGAACTCTGCGCTTGCTGCTAAAGATGGAGACGGAGCGCTTATGGGAATGCCCCAAGTGCTGCGAAGTTGGTTCTGGAATTAACTCTTCTTTCTGAGACATAAAATGACTTTTCTCTAAAATGAACATTTCTTCTGAAGAAAGTATGGAGATTTCTTTCTGAGGCAGACATTAGTGAGACAGGTCTTTCTGAGACAGACATTAGTGAGACAGGTCTTTCTGAGACAGACATTAGTGAGACAGATTTTTTTGAGACAGACATTAGTGAGACAGGTCTTTCTGAGACAGACATTAGTGAGACAGGTCTTTCTGTGACAGACATTAGTGAGAAAGACATCAGTGAGACAGACATTAGTAAGACAGGTCTATCTGAGACAGACATTAGTGAGACAGGTCTTTCTGAGACAGACATTAGTGAGACAGATCTTTCTGAGACAGACATTAGTGAGACAGGTCTTTCTGAGACAGACATTAGTGAGACAGGTCTTTCTGAGACAGACATTAGTGAGACAGATCTTTCTGAGACAGACATTAGTGAGACAGGTCTTTCTGAGGCAGATATTAGTGAGACAGACATTAGTGAGACAGGTCTTACTGAGACAGACATTAGTGAGACAGGTCTTTCTGAGACAGACATTAGTGAGACAGGTCTTTCTGAGACAGACATTAGTGAGACAGGTCTTTCTGAGACAGACATTAGTGAGACAGGTCTTTCTGAGACAGACATTAGTGAGACAGGTCTTTCTGAGACAGACATTAGTGAGACAGGTCTTTCTGAGACAGACATTAGTGAGACAGGTCTTTCTGAGACAGACAATAGTGAGACAGGTCTTTCTGAGACAGACATTAGTGAGACAGGTCTTTCTGAGACAGACATTAGTGAGACAGGTCTTTCTGAGACAGACATTAGTGAAACAGACATTAGTGAGACAGATATTTCTGAGACAGACATTAGTGAGACAGGTCTTTCTGAGACAGACATTAGTGAGACAGACATTAGTGAGACAGGTCTTTCTGAGACAGACATTAGTGAGACAGGTCTTTCTGAGACAGACAGTAGTGAGACAGACATTAGTGAGACAGGTCTTTCTGAGACAGACATTAGTGAGACAGATCTTTCTGAGACAGACATTAGTGAGACAGACATTAGTGAGACAGGTCTTTCTGAGACAGACAGTAGTGAGACAGACATTAGTGAGACAGGTCTTTCTGAGACAGACATTAGTGAGACAGGTCTTTCTGAGACAGACAGTAGTGAGACAGACATTAGTGAGACAGGTCTTTCTGAGACAGACATTAGTGAGACAGACATTAGTGAGACAGGTCTTTCTGAGACAGACAGTAGTGAGACAGGTCTTTCTGAGACAGACATTAGTGAGACAGACATCAGTGAGACAGACATTAGTAAGACAGGTCTATCTGAGACAGACATTAGTGAGACAGACAGTAGTGAGACAGACATTAGTGAGACAGACATTAGTGAGACAGATCTTTCTGAGACAGACATTAGTGAGACAGGTCTTTCTGAGACAGACATTAGTGAGAAAGACATCAGTGAGACAGACATTAGTAAGACAGGTCTATCTGAGACAGACATTAGTGAGACAGGTCTTTCTGAGACAGACATTAGTGAGACAGATCTTTCTGAGACAGACATTAGTGAGACAGGTCTTTCTGAGGCAGATATTAGTGAGACAGACATTAGTGAGACAGACATTAGTGAGACAGGTCTTACTGAGACAGACATTAGTGAGACAGGTCTTTCTGAGACAGACATTAGTGAGACAGGTCTTTCTGAGACAGACAATAGTGAGACAGGTCTTTCTGAGACAGACATTAGTGAGACAGGTCTTTCTGAGACAGACATTAGTGAGACAGGTCTTTCTGAGACAGACATTAGTGAAACAGACATTAGTGAGACAGATATTTCTGAGACAGACATTAGTGAGACATCTTTCTGAGACAGACATTAGTGAGACAGATCTTTCTGAGACAGACATTAGTGAGACATCTTTCTGAGACAGACATTAGTAAGACAGACATTAGTGAGACAGACATTAGTGAGACAGACATTAGTGAGACAGATCTTTCTGAGACAGACATTAGTGAGACAGGTCTTTCTGAGACAGACATTAGTGAGACAGGTCTTTCTGAGACAGACATTAGTGAGACAGACATTAGTGAGACAGATATTTCTGAGACAGACATTAGTGAGACATCTTTCTGAGACAGACATTAGTGAGACAGATCTTTCTGAGACAGACATTAGTGAGACATCTTTCTGAGACAGACATTAGTAAGACAGACATTAGTGAGACAGACATTAGTGAGACAGACATTAGTGAGACAGATCTTTCTGAGACAGACATTAGTGAGACAGGTCTTTCTGAGACAGACATTAGTGAGACAGGTCTTTCTGAGACAGACATTAGTGAGACAGACATTAGTGATACAGGCCTTTCTGAGGCAGACAATAGTGAGACAGGTCTTTCTCAAATATGTTGAACATGTTATGAATAATCTAACTTCATTTTCAAAGGTTTTAGAATTTGGCATGTAGACCTGCCGAAACACTTTGCCCATCTTATTACTTTAACCTGAAACTCTTTTTCATTAGCCAGAGTATTGCGCTGAGCCTATGTACAGCATAGCTGCAACATTTGCACTTGGCAGGAAATGCATCAAATGTCTTCAGGCATCTGTAGTCTGGATTAGTTTTCCCATTTAGTTTCATGGGATATGGCACAGCCTCACATTTGGATCATCAATCTTTGCTTCCTAATCCACAGGTTTATAATTACTGCTGTGACAGATGGGGCCTTCTATCAGGCTGGTCAAGAGCAGCCACAAACAACAATATATACATTATAAGCATACGGGAATATGGACTCACTGGTTTGATGCGCAAGACTCTTTACCACATGATTACATTCTGCTAATTATTATTTGACAACAGTTGACAGAAGCCTCAGAAATGAGATATCTGAGAAAGGTGGTCCAAGTGACCAGAAGGGACAAATTCTGCAATCAGATAATATGTCAAAATCTTGATACCCAGTCCTTATCAACTTGAGTGTATCAGTCACAGTAACGATGGTTTGGACATGTATGCAGAATGGGAGAAAATTGGCCACCATGGCAGGTATGAGAGGTACCAGGAAACCAGACCTCCAGGACGACCAAGGGGTCGCTGGGAAGACAACATCCGACAGTCATTAACTGACAGAAAACTTGAATGGAACAAAGCCAGAAAGAAAACTGCTGACAGAGACGTCTGGGGATCTCTCTGGCAAACCTCTACACCCCAAGGTAGACGAGGAGCGACTAAGTAAGTAATTATTATTACACAGCGTTAACAATGTATTGCATATATTTTTGAAAAATAAAAATATTTCAACAGAATATTGTATTGGAGTAAATAAATAATTGCGATTGCCCGAAGGCGGATTTTCCTAATTAGCCTTGATTCACGGCTTGACCCAGCCTAACAAAAGTACCGGGAAATTTCCTGGGGTCTTCTTGGTCTTGTTTTTTCTTCCGGTCAACTCAGGTGGAAAGTTCTAGTTGTTTATTCATTTTTGGAATTTAGTTTTGTTCCAAAAACTTAAGTTTTGTGTACACATCAATTTTACAGTTCTGGCCTATTTTTAAGCAGACTGTTGACTCTTCCCCTCTTGGGCTGATGCACTCGGACTCTGAAGGAAACCCCAATTAGCCGTCTATTATGGTATGTTCATGGGGGTGGGGGGAGGGTGTCTATTTCTGTCACCCCCCCCAAACCTACACAGGGATTGTCCTAGGATATAAAGTAGTTGGCATAATACTGACCATATCACTGGTCCACTGCCCACTGGTATATTAAAATATGTGTCCAGCATCCTATGCTCAATGCATATCACTGGTCCACTGCCCACTGGTATATTAAAATATGTGTCCAGCATCCTATGCTCAATGCATATCACTGGTCCACTGCCCACTGGTATATTAAAATATGTGTCCAGCATCCTATGCTCAATGCATCTATGACACACACAGGGTCCTTGATCCTTTTCTGTTTACATTTTTATTTGGGTTATAAAATGGCTTACAAAACAATCACCAAGGAAAACAAAACAATCACCAAGGAAAACAAAACAATCACCAAGGAAAACAAAACAATCACCAAAGAAAACAAAAAACAAAAAAAGAATTTCACCAACCAAGATTAGTAACAGAACAAGGGCTTACCTTGGCTGCCTCTTCCAGTCGCGCCAACAAGATTTTCCATCTGCTCCTCGTGTCTTTGCCCAACTTGCCGCTGAAGTCCTCAGACAGATACTGCCTTACATGTGACACAGGTTAAAGAAAACTCTAACACTGATCTTTGTATGTGTAAAAGATTTTTGTTGTTGCAGAGAGGTTTCGGACAGACAACATATGCCCCATCATTTTTACAGAAAAAGGTGTAGAATCCAGAAACAGAAAAATGTGCAGGATCAAGGAAAAATAAAATAAGGACCTTCACAAAAACTAACAAACAACCAAAGGCCTCAGCAACTAAAATCATCTCCATCCTCTTGTGCCACTGTATGTTACATAGGGCTAACTAACATCTAATTCTTTCATTTGGTTCCATCCTGTCAATTCATTCAATATCACGGGTGGAATTGAGTCCAGCACTTGGCAGCATTCTCAACACTCAGGAGTTCTCGTTAGATGTCCTTGTTCCCTTACCTATTTGTTTCCTATTACAGTGCCTGGTATGTGATTCCTTGTCCGCTTCTCAGAAACTGATTTACTTTAGCAACATTAAATGTCCCAGGAAATGAGAAGGAACATTAGCGGAAGGCATGGTTGTGGAAGATCATTCAGGTGATGAGCAACACGAAGGTGAAACAGGACATCAAAGACACTGCCAGGTAATCTGGGGCAAGGGAGAGGCAAAAAATCGAGTCCTGACCCAAAACATACTAGATAATAAATACATCCACACACACACCACTGGTTAGAAAACAAGCTCCCGAACCAGGAATAACATAATAACTGCTATCACCCTTCTGTCTTTCCACTCGATAGCATCATACTGTGCCACGGTGAGGCAAAAGCAAACACAGCCCATGGCAATTTCAGTTAAGACCAAGGGTGAAGTTCCTTCTCTTCATAGCATAAAACCTGGGAAGAGACTTGGCAATGCCCATGCAACGTGATCCCCTACTTGGCCTGCCTTGTTTACCCCAAAGGAAAGGTAACAAACCAATCAAGCTGAAGAAGCTGAAGGATCAGAAGAACAATGCTCTGTCTGTTGACCAGTATCAGCTTCCCTCTCAGACCAGGTGTCAACCAAGGCTAAAAGACTGCCCAGCCACAATGGCCAGTTTTCATATTGCATTTCTTCGACCTCGGATAAGGAATCCTCGCCAATATACTCCACCTGCTGAAACTGTTAGCACAGCGTAGGATGTAAGGTTTGGAATTGCCACCTTAAACGAATACAAGCTGCGATATTTGTGCCCACTGACAAGACACCTAAATTCAGCAGTATTTTTAAGACTGGGGTTTGTCTCTCCTTGACCTCTGGTCACTTGCCCAGCTGTAGCGATGCAGACTTTTTGCCGGAACACTTACCAATGGAGCAAGGGACCAGCTCAGCTGTGCTTCACAGATTTTAACACAAGAAACCATACAACCAGTCTCTGGCAATTTTCATCTCTTCAGTCGCACAGCTGGTCTGAATAACGACCACAGCTGGTTTAACATAAAAACCACAGCTGGTCTGAATAATGACCACAGCTAGAAGGATATTTTCTGCTGGAACCAGAGCAATGATGTTCTTCCACTTCTCCTCAGAGTCCAGCAAATCTTGTTTCTTAACAATGTAGTCCAGGAAGTGGTGGTCAATGATCTCCAGGGCATGTCTGCAGAGTACAGAAACACACATGACAATAGTCACCATCAGCGGTCAGTAGTTAGTTCTATGACATATCTCCTGCAGTAACACACATGACAATAGTGACCATCAGCGGTCAGTAGTTCTATGACATATCTCCTGCAGTAACACACATGACAAAACTGACCATCAGCGGTCAGTAGTTACTTCTATGACATGTCTCCTGCAGTAAGAAAACATACGATAACAATCACAGAAAAGCTGACTATTAACAGCCATCAATTGTCTCTATGTGTGTGGGGGCAAGCAAACATATTAAGCACTACATAAAGATATCTTTGACGCATCGTATGTGAGTAGCAGTTACATCCAGGAAGGAATAAAGCACATATATGAGTACAGGAAATAGCAGTTACATCCAGGGAGAAATAAAGCATGTATACGAGTACAGGAAATAACAGTTACGTCCAAGGGGGTGGGGGGGGGGGGGGGGATAAAGCACAGATATGAGTACAGAAAATAACAGATAATTATAAATGCTTCTCCCTGAGTATGGTATCCTGCAAGCATGTCAAACTGAAGGTTTCCCCAGGGCCATATGGATCACTTTTGTGCTGATATGAGGGTTTCCCCAAGGTCATATGGGTCACTTTTGTGCTGATATGAGGGTTTCCCCAGGGTCATATGGGTTACTTTTGTGCTGATATGAAGGTTTCCCCAGGGTCATATGGGTCACTTTTGTGCTGATATGAGGGTTTCCCCAGGGTCATATGGGTTACTTTTGTGCTGATATGAGGGTTTCTCCAGGGTCATATGGGTCACTTTTGTGCTGATATGAGAGTTTCCCCAGGGTCATATGGGTTACTTTTGTGCTGATATGAAGGTTTCCCCAGGGTCATATGGGTCACTTTTGTGCTGATATAAGGGTTTCCCCAGGGCCATATGGTTGGTCACTTTTGTGCTGATATAAGCCACCCCCCCCTCTCCCCCAGTTCCATGTCGGTCACTTTTGTGCTGATATTAGGATCCCACACGACAACTAACTGAACTTGTTTAATAACAGATATTGAATGTAAAGGGGAGCATGTTTGACAGGCCTGAGTAGTGGATCAGCTAACCTGTCTTCTCAGATAAGTGTGAAAGACATGGAAGACCTCTGTGTCTGTATGTCTTTTTCTTCTTCACATTCACAGACCGCAAACTCAGAAAGTTCTGGATATTTGTTCACTTCTGAACTTTAATCTTGTGCCAGAACCTGAGTTTGCGTGCACATCCATTTTACAGTTCTAGCTTATTTGTAGGCAGACTGTTGGTTTCTTGCCTCTCAGGCAGATGCACTCGGATTTCAAAGCAAACACCCCAAATAAGTTGACTATGACATGCTTGTCAGGGAGGCACTGGATCTATTCTTTTGTTTTCCCTCTTCCCATATTGGAGCCATGGAACCCACACAGAAATGTTTGTCTGTGGCTAACTGGCCACTGGTTCGGGACAAGTTTAACTCTGATGCTAATGATAGTTGCAGCTTACAGTTGTGGAGAGATAGGTCTCATATATATTAGGTCATGGCATTAAGTGAGGTGACAGGTTTGTTTCCTCTGAAATACAGAGCAGATGTAGAACACAGCACTAGGAACACAGACATGGACAAAGCTACAACACGTGTTCTAGTCATAATCATCTGCCATGCTCCACCGCAGTAGGTAAAGAGACTAAATGTGGTCTATTCAGAATAAAGTTACCTAACCCTGTCGACCCGAGAAGCCATGAACCCGGCATTTCCACTGTGACCCAATCTCGTAAATCCCGCACTTTTTCTCTAGTAATCACTGAAGCCTAGCTAACGGTGATGGCTTCTGTTTGTGCCCGGGCAGTGTTTAGGTGCAGATTTGAATATATTTACTAAATATAGCCTTTGAGAGTGGGGTGTCGTGTGAACAAAAATTGATCTTTTAAAAAATGAGGTCACGGTTTGAGTCACTGGATACATTGTCAGGCCCTGGGGAATTATTTCATTTAATGGTTCATTAAGTACAAGCACCAAGAAAGAGATTATAAACAGTATACTTATGCCAAGACTGTGCTATCAGTGCCAGTTGTGGACATTAACCAAGGCTAACCTTCGTAAAATTTACACCTGTGAAATGAGACGCCTGAGAAAAGCATCCAGCTTAACCGCCAGAGGCAAATTTAGACATGATGTTATTAGACTGCAGAAACAACACCAGGCAGCAAATTCACAGAGAAACAGAAGATGAAATGGTTTGGTCATTTAGGAAGAATGCAGCCACACCAACTACCCACGCAGGTGATATACATGAAAAGATCTGAAGTGAAAGCAAGAGGCCACCCTAGGAGAACATGGACTGACAACATTAAAGAGCTTCTACAAGGACATGGAATGACAATAGCCATTGCTGCCCATCGAGCAATGGATCACAAACTGTTGCTCACTACAGCCCCTAACCACAGACGTGGAAACTGATGCTGAGGATGATCAATGCTTCAGTTCTTTTGTGTTTTTGACCCCCCCCCCCCGGTTTATTTATGGAAACTGCCGGTTGCCGCCTTTGTTGTACGCATTTCTGGGGCAAGAGGTTTAAATTCTTCAACCCTAACCATGACTGTGATGAACTGAGCAGTACACACAAGAGACTGGCACACAATACATGAGATGTACCATGCCATCTAACATAGTCCTTGCAGATGATGTAACATCTTTGCATACTGACAGGTAAAACACTTCTCACCTTATAGAAGGGTGGAGTTTGTCTGGTAGGTTGACTTTACGAATCTGATTTTCTCCACCCTAAGTAGAAATGAGAGAAAATAAACTGTTAGCCAGTGAATTCATTTACAACAAACCATACATTCTCCTGTATAGGTTATTATGTTCTTTGACATTTTTTCAGTTTAAAATTGGGGGTCGTCTTATACACTGAATGTTGCAACAAAATATATAAATAAATACATGCAGCTATCCATATTCTTTCCCTGCAGTCTGGTACTTCCGTCAGCAAACCTCAATCCAGACATCATCCCTCCCCCATCCCCCTTCTGGTTACACAAACCTCCTATTCCCCAAGTGCACTCACTCAGGCAGTTCTGGCAGCCACAGCTTCTCCGTCATCGTTTGCACCGTATGCACTCTTGTTTGTGCAAATGTCATAGTTTTATATGCATTCTAGCTACTGTACTACTGTGTAGGTTCAGCTGCTTTGAGTTTGCCTTCTTTTGACTCTCTATGGCACATTGTAGGTGAGTGTCACATAATCCTTGCTAGCTCTATGGCACAGTGTAGGTGAGTGTCACATGATCCTTGCTAGCTCTATGGCACATTGTAGGTGAGTGTCACATAATCCTTGCTAGCTCTATGGCACAGTGTAGGTGAGTGTCACATAATCCTTGCTAGCTCTATGGCACATTGTAGGTGAGTGTCACATAATCCTTGCTAGCTCTATGTCTATTCTTATACTGCATGTTACAACAATTCTGACAAGCCCACACACACAAATTACTTACCGTATGATATAAAATAAATTGGTAAAGATGTTCTGTTTCATTTTTAAACATACGGTATTAAATATACCAGTGTTTATAATAAATATCAAAGCTGTTCTATGTGATAATTAAAATATTTTCTAATTTTGGACTAAAAATCCGGGTTGTACTACATGAGGGTGTCTTATACACAGCAGAAAAATACAGCATATATTATTTTAAAATAAAAGTACTTGAGTTTGCATGCACAATAAGTTTTGAAAGCTCTTTTTTAGGACTGAAGTCACTGAAGCAAAAATTACAGGCCAGAACTTCCTCGACACCCCTTTCATACCGGACTGTGTAACAGAAGTTCAGATACATCCGAGAATGTCATGGCAGAAGTTCAGATACATCCCAGAATGCCATGGCAGAAGTTCAGATACATCCCAGAATGCCATGACAAAGGTTCAGATACATCCCAGAATGCCATGGCAGAAGTTCAGATACACCCCAGAATGACATGGCAAAGGTTCAGATACATCCCAGAATGACATGGCAGAAGTTCAGATACATCCCAGAATGCCATGGCAGAAGTTCAGATACATCCCAGAATGCCATGGCAGAAGTTCAGATACATCCCAGAATGCCATGGCAGAAGTTCAGATACATCCCAGAATGCCATGACAGAAGTTCAGATACATCCCAGAATGACATGGCAGAAGTTCAGATACATCCCAGAATGACATGGCAGAAGTTCAGATACATCCCAGAATGCCATGGCAGAAGTTCAGATACATCCCAGAATGCCATGGCAGAAGTTCAGATACATCCCAGAACAAGCAGGTCTGCTTTCTGCTGTTGTTGTTTTCAGCCAGTATGGCTTTGGTGAATAATCGTAGTGAAGTGGCCAGATACTCAACTGAAGGTCATAGGTTGAAATGTTAGGTTTTCATACCTTCTTAGTCATTACACGTGAGGGCTGTGACCAGTTCACTTTCCCATTTCCTGTTCTTTCCAGCCCATTCCCAGAAAATGTGTGGGGTCCATTTGTTTATGAGGCTTGGTTTTGTTTGTTTGTTTAAGTCCCAGAGCCAGACCTATTTACATACATCTAAGTAAAGGGTCCTTTTCCACAACTTTAGGCGTTTAGGTGCTACCGTTGCTGCCTTAGTGACTTTGGCTGTACAAGAAACATGTAACAATCATCTCATAAACCACATTTCTACAGCTGCTAATCTCTCCCAAACTTGTCTTTTCACATTCTAAGATTCACTGTCTACAACAGAACAGGTTCACACACATCAGTTCTCTCTTGATATCTTCATCATCTTCACCGCCTACAACAGAACAGATTCACACACATCAGTTCTCTCTTGATATCTTCATCACCTTCACCATCTACAACAGAACAGGTTCACACATGTCAGTTCTCTCTCGATATCTTCACCGTCTACAACAGAACAGGTTCACACACGTCAGTTCTCTCTCGATATCTTCACCGTCTACAACAGAACAGGTTCACACACGTCAGTTCTCTCTCGATATCTTCACCGTCTACAACAGAACAGGTTCACACACGTCAGTTCTCTCTTGATATCTTCATAATCTTCACTGTCTACAACAGAACAGGTTCACACACGTCAGTTCTCTCTTGATATCTTCATCATCTTTACCATCTACAACAGAGCAGGTTCACACAAGTCAGTTCTCTTAATATCTTCTTCACTGTCTACAACAGAACAGGTTCACATACATCAGTTCTCTTGATATCTTCTTCACTGTCTACAACAGAACAGGTTCACATACATCAGTTCTCTTGATATCTTCTTCACTGTCTACAACAGAAGAGGTTCACATACATCAGTTCTCTTAATATCTTCTTCACTGTCTACAACAGAACAGGTTCACATACATCAGTTCTCTTGATATCTTCTTCACTGTCTACAACAGAAGAGGTTCACACACGTCAGTTCTCTCTTGATATCTTCATCATCTTCACCGCCTACAACAGAACAGGTTCACACACATCAGTTCTCTCTTGATATCTTCATCATCTTCACTGTCTACAACAGAACAGGTTCACATACGTCAGTTCTCTCTTGATATCTTTTTTCATCATCTTCCCTGGCAGTAAACTCCGGCAGCAGAAAGTCCTGGATTTCCGCCCACTTCTGGATTCTGGTTTTGTTCCAGGACTTAAGTGTCGAGAGAACATTTGTTTTACTGATATGGCTCGTTTGTGTGCAGACTGTTAGTTCCTTGCCACTCAGGGAGATGCACTCCTCCTTCAAAGGAATTGTTGGGCTTCTTGAGACTGGCCAGGTCCCCAGGAAGGAAATGTTGAGCTTCTAGACGCTGGCCAGGCCCCCAGGAAGGAATCTGTTTCTAGAATGAACACAGAGAGGTGTAGGCAGGTGTTGACCAGTACCAGCCCTGGTCCTGCAGCACCACCAACTTCAGAACCTCTGCAGTCTACTAACAACAACACAGCAACAGTCTACTGCCAACAACACAGCAGCAGTCTACTGACAACAACACAGCAGCAGTCTACTGACAACAACACAGCAGCAGTCTACTGACAACAACACAGCGGCAGTCTACTGACAACAACACAGCACAAGGGAAACAAACCTTGACAAGTGTCAAATACTCAGCAATGGCAGACCTTCCCTGCGGGGACAACATCCGAGCTGATTCATCACACACCCAGCAGTGAATACCACGACGACCAGAGTAGACCCACAGTAAATTCTGAAATCCAAAGTCCTCTGGGGAAAAAGAAACAAGCCATCCCAAATAAGCCTAGTGGAGATCAGTCTATAGAGGAGATGCTATACACATAGAAATATGAAGACAATCGCCTCTGATGTGTTTCACCTATGAGTGGCAGAGAAGTTATTGTGCTCGTCAGCTATAATGAGGTGGACAAGGGTCTCAACTGTCAGGGGATATTCTTCCTAGTGTTCTCAGGCTGTAAACTGGGGCAGAAAGTTCTGGTTGCTTGTCCACTTCTGGGCTTTGGTCTTGCTTCAGAACTTGAGTTCTGCATGCACATTCATTTTTAAAGCTCTTTTTTGGGACTGAAGTCACTGAAGCAAAAATTACAGGCCAGAACTTCCTCGAAACCCCTTTCATACCAGACTGTGTAACCTCTGCCCATGCATAAGCAATGCTGTGAATAGCAACATCATCAGTCAGCTTTAGATTATCCAAGCCATGTGCTCCCTTCAAACACTGGAACCGGCCAGAACTGGCAACGAGAAGATGGCACTGTAAGGTCTGACTTCAGTTCATCAAACAAACATCTTGCCTTGGCCCTGAATAATCAAGGTGGATAAAGGAATGGCATGTTTATGCCGATGTTTGATCCACTGAGGTGGATAAAGGAATGGCATGTTTATGCCAATGTTTGATCCACTGAGGTGGATAAAGGAATGACATGTTTATGCCGATGTCCAGTTCACTGAGGTGGATAAAGGAATGGCTTGTTCATGCTGAGATCACATATAACAAGGGATACCTGCACACTGTGTTTCCCCCCTTAAAAAAAAGCCTAACCTAAAAATAAACCCTGTCATTTGCCAGGATGCCTGTGGTATAAGCCCTGGTTAAAATCACTAGCCAGATACTTTTTTTTTTTAAATTATTCGTTGAAACACACAATGGACATACTATTAAATTTTGAAGTAATGAATTTACAAATAAATAATATTACTGAGGTTAATGCTTTACATACAGATTTAAAAAATATAAATATGCATATTTTTGTACATTTAACAATAAGTTATTTCCTGAAAATAAACCCTCGGGCTTCATTTGGAGCACACAAAAAAAGAATATAAAGGGAAAAGTAGGAGACAAAGATGAGAAACACACCAGCAAGACAAACTCAAAAGTTTACCTCTAAGAGCCCTGTCCAAAATCTTGACAGCCATCACCATAAGGGGCCAGCACTTGGAGCAAATATCAGCACCCCTGGAAGGGATGACAGAGTTACTGAACGTTGCCTGCAACATTTTACACTACAAACAACCATAGCAGTCTATTCATAGTGCTGCACAACAGTTGTCAGTAAACAAAACAAAAACCATTAAGATAAATATAAAAATGTGGATCACTCAGATATAATGGATAAACATGATGACACGAGGGCAGGCTATGTCATTCAGCCATCAAATGCAACTTCTTTAGGCATCTACTGACCAGGTTAGCCTTCCCTGCAGCCCCGCCTCCAGTTGATTCATCGATTCTACCTGTTTTCAGTCAAGTCACACATTCTCCCTCAAGTGAAGTTCTGAAGTCCTTAACTTTTCAACATCCTGTCTCCTCCATCGTAGCAGCAGTGTCCTAGTGGCTAGACACATGTCTGCCACCCTTACAGGTTTTAGGGCTGAATTCACTTAAAAATGACCTTGGTTTCTAGGTCAACCTCAAATGGGTTTCCGGTAGATTCCTGGGAAGGCAGCCATCGTGATGTTTTCCACATCACCATCAACTTCCAGTAGGCCTATTAAATAAACAAATTTTAAAAACCGCCCTAGTATTATATACATAATGACCGTAAAAAAGGTCGTTTTCTTACCGAACCATCATCTCTACAGTATAGTTATAAATTCTCCAGAAGTAAAGGTAGCCGGGGTGACGGTGACCAAATCACCCAGCGAGCGCCAATTGGTCTATAAAATACATGTCTAGCATCAAATGCACAATACCTCTCAAGGTGTGAAAAGGGGTTCATTGCTACTGTATAATGTGACCCACAGGTCAGGGGTCAGAGTGCTTGACATGATTTTCAGTTAGAAACTCTAAATGGCAGCAGAGGAAGAATGTTTAAAAAAAACAAAAACCAATCTGCACTTACGAACAACAGCTGCGGACATCATCATAGTCAGTCATGTCAATATCAAACACTAGTTCTTTCTCTTGAGCTTGGAATGCTGTTGATTTGACTGTCTTATGATCCTTAGGCTGGGGACAAATAACAAAATATCTTGAATTACATCTCCATGTGTGGGTTCCAGTCCCCATGGGAAGGGGGGGGTGATTCTGACCACACCACACACTGAGTCCCAAAAGGTATATAAATACAAGTCTAGCACTGTATATCTGAAGCACCACTGAGGTAAAACGTCCCTTTACTTTGTACTTCTTCATCCTATATTTTAGGATCTGCAGTCGTACTATGGCTAGAACGCTTGTCCCCTGCTTGATGGGCATAAGTTTATATCTTTATTGATGGGTCCCAAACCTAAAATATGTAGCAGGAAATGTTCGAGGTGGTAAAGGCAGCTAGTGCAATACTGAGGACATCATCCACTGGCCTACACAATCATGTGGTCATCCCCATAGGTTCACTAAAGTTCAAGATGTGGAGACAGGTCCATAACTGTTTACTGTGTGAGCGTGTGTATGTGAGGGAGTGGGCATGTGTAAGAGTATTTGAGAGAGTGGGCATGTATGAGAGTATATGAGAGAGTGGGCATGTGTAAGAGTATTTGAGAGAGTGGGCATGTATGAGAGTATATGAGAGAGTGGGCATGTGTAAGAGTATTTGAGAGAGTGGGCATGTATGAGAGTATTTGAGAGAGTGGGCATGTTTGTGAGTATTTGAGAGAGTGGGCATGTATGAGAGTATATGAGAGAGTGGACATGTGTAAGAGTATTTGAGAGAGTGGGCATGTATGAGAGTATATGAGAGAGTGGGCATGTGTAAGAGTATTTGAGAGAGTGGGCATGTATGAGAGTATATGAGATAGTGGGCATGTGTGTGAGAGGCAATGGGCATATGCATGTGTTTATGCGAACGTGTATGTGTTTAGTGAGAGAGTTGGCATATGTGTGTATGTTTTTAACCCCAGTGTTAACACAACTAAGGTACAAAAGCCTTTTCCTGCCCCAGGTTCAAGGGTATTTAGTGCAAGACCCATTTTTTTAATAGACCAACACGCACTTGCATCATGCTAGCCGCCTTTACATCCCAGAACATTACCTGGTAGCCGTTTTAGACTGAGTTAACCTGGAAGCCAAGGTCAATTTGGAGAAAAAAGTTCTAATGTGGATTTGAACCCTTTACCTTTGCACTGGCATGCGAGTAGCTAGCCATGGCTCCCTACTGTGACTAAAAAGACTACAATTATACATGTACAAATAGTTGCTACAATAATGAACTAACTTCTCAAGAATCATGTCTATACTGATGGATCAGCATTTAAAGCTACCATTAAAGCAGGTTATGGAATCTACATAGGTTATCCCGATGGATCTGTTGAAGAGATTTTTGATGCATGCGGGGAATTCTGTTCAAACTATGAAGCTGAAATAATTGCACTGGAAACAGCTGTATACCACCTAAAGACTGTAATGGATGTTTACCCCTCAAAGGTCCAAAATATTGTCATCTTCACAGATTCAATGTCTGCCCTTCAAGCTCTGGAGGGCAATGAACGCTGCAGAACTGACATAGCCAAGATAATCCTGGATGCCGATCAGCTTATTACCTCATACATCAGAATAGTGATGCAGTGGATTCCAGGTCACTCCGGCACACCAGGTAATGACAGAGCTGACAGATTGGCAAAGAAAGGAGCAACACAAGAACAACCAGCTACAGCGACAACCCTCCAGACAGCAAAAACACTGATAAGAGCTATAAACAAAGAGACTTGGTTGAACAGATGGGCCATGGGAGACACTGGAAGAGAGGTTTATAGACATATGTCTGGCCCTGATCCTAATGACAGCATTAACCATCTAACAAGAAGGGACCAGGCCACCATCTTCAGACTTAGAACGCAACATACTCCACTCAATGGACACCTAAACAGAATACAGCCACAACACTCCCCAGAGTGCCAGCTATGTAACTACCCCTACGAAACTGTTGAACACCATCTCTTTGAGTGCCCAAAACTCAGTGAGACAAGAAGAACGCTACTCCCTCCGAGACCAGACAAGTGGAACACCTTGTACGGAGGAAAAGAATAGCTTATGAAAACATGCAAATTCCACTACATGGCATTGGGCCAAAGGGCGAAAGCTCATGCGCCGCTGGATCGATAACAACAACAACAAGAATCGGGCACTTACCCTGTGAGAATACACTGCCCCTATGTCAATCTTATATGGACACTTCTTCTGAAGCTCTTTCTCAAAGTCTTGCTGGTCCGAAAATGACTGATAACGAATGTATACATCATCCTTGAGTGTGAAGGAAAACTCTCTGTGGCTGAAGTAATGTTTTGGAACTGTGGAAAGCAATCTCATTTCAACACAAATTCCACAAAGAAAACTGTCTTTACTGCTAGAATTTACTACTTTCTAGGGCGGTGCAGATGGGACTTTTGATCTTAAATGTTATAGGAAAATTCTTAAGAGTATCACGGACCAAGATGTGGTTCACAGACAGTATTGTTTCTCGTAAGCTGACATACTTCGGCCCTATTTAACACCATTACCGGGAAGACTAACCTGGACAACAAATGCCTGCTGAAGTTGGGTGTGTCGGCCGAAAGATGCAAATATGGCAGCCATACTGTAAACAGGCAAGACCATCTTCGGATAAGTGCAGAAGAAGAAACACTATTGTTTAGACAACAGAAATAAAAGATATGGTTGCTGAAAAAATAATGCAGGGGACAACCAGCAGGACAGAGGACACAAGAGATCAAAGACACCATCAACATGAGGTGGGAAAGTTGGCAGTCAAACCTGCAGCTTTCTGGCATGTCATGTGACAGACTGGCCAGATCTGCAGTATTCTGTGGAGGAAGAAGTAAGGACAGGGCATGCAGAAACTGGTTGGGAGACAACAAAAGAAGATATGCCTGTGAACTACTACTGGGTACGTTGACCATGGAGACACTGAGATGGCTGCTGTATCTCAAGAGCACGAATGGGTCTAACTAATGTGATAAGATGTCGATATGGACAACAAGCAATCAGTAATAAGAGATGTGATTAGCATCAACTTTGCAGGTTAGGATTTTGTGTTCAATAACACATGTGTTCGACATCAGGTTTATCCAAAAATGTGATTAAAACCACACAATATAATGTATGTGACCTTAACCGAGTTCCTAAGCGTTTGGAAACAATATGGTTTACTGCTTTAGAAGTCTCAAATTCAAATAAACAGCGTGTTTATCGGATTTTTGTAATTTATAAAGTCAAACTTTGATGAAGGATAGCTCTAATATATACGTCATGCAAAGTGTACGTTGATAACAAAGTCAGCTGACATAAAGATTTTATGTTTACACCGCCCTAAAAAGTGGTAAAACAAACAGTAGGGACAGTTTTTATATATATATATATATATATATATATATATATATATATATATATATATATATATACATACATACACATATATATATATATCTTTTAGTGTCAGTTCCAGTGCTATTTCCCTGACTTTTTAGGAACACAGCTACAAAATTATGGCACCCAAGTGTTATAGTTTGTTTTGTGTGAAGTTACTAACTGTTTTGGGAAGTCGTCGTTTTTCTTTACCAAATAGTGCTGCTTTGTGATGTTCCAAATGTTTCCCAGGAACAAGGTAAATGTACGAATTATGTTTATATTTTGTTTATATTTTATTTATACATAACTCAGTGGTTTATTTTCACTTGTGATTCATTTTGGATACGTCTGATCGAGTTTTCCTTAAGAACTATGACGGTAAGTGGAAAAATAAGTATTTAATTCTATTAATTTCTCTAAACATGTGATCTGTTCATCCTAAACATTTCCTGGTCACTCTGATATATTTATTTATGTGTGTGTTGCCCAGCATCCAAATCTGTGTCTATTTTTAATGGGCTTCTTCTTCAGCATTCCAAGATCTTAAGGTTCATTGCTGCAGATATCACCCGCCTCCATTCATCTCTCTGGCTGGCCTTCTCTTTCCAGCCGGTGACACCAAGTGTTTGTAAGTCTGTCTGGACATTATCTTTCCATCGTATTCTTGGTCTGCCTCGTGGTCGATGGTTAATCAGCTCCCTTGTGTATACAGTTCTGTCTCACTTTCGCCAGCCTAGCTACACTCACAGCAGGACCTTCCAAGCTGGAAATGTCAAAAAGGTAGGGAAGATACAAAGAGATGCCCTGGTCCTCCAGGTTTGGGGTTGTAACGTGCGACCGACACCTTAAAAAAAATGACATAGTATAAAGAAACAGAATAGTTCAGAAAACAGATATCTAACTCTAAGCCTCTCTAAGCCTATTTCGGATGGTCATTTAAATGGACAAGGTACTCTTCCGATTACAGGTCACAAATTATTTACTGTTTAAAAAATCCCATTCAGGGCCTCAAGAAGTCATATAGTTAAAAATATGGAATAGGAACACTACGAACTATGCTTCACATTATTATATAATTGAATGTGAACCAAACTCTCGAGTCTTTAGTAGTACAGTTGTCAGTATTCTTACAACATGCTTTTTTGGTTTCAGTAGATCTATTCCTTTTTTCCCCCTCAAATATGTGGCCCTGGAACTCAAAAGGTGAGTCATGGGTAATGTGAACAATGGATCAAAAACTATTTCTCCCCCACAGCACTTAGAGTAACGTCTAAACATTGCTATTCATCAAGCAATAATGGCAGAAGTGGAAACTGATGATGATGGCCTAAATGTTTTTACTACATAACTTCTTGAGGCTCTCAAAGGGATGTTTTTCGCAGTGAATAATTTGGGACGTATTCAGAAGAGTGCTGATGGACAATGAAACTGGAACGTGGCTCTCCTCCGAACTTCTACCCCCGCAGTATTGCGGCCTGAAATATTCGTTCGGGGCGCAGTCCAATTAAAAATACGGACTTGTCGGAGTTCCCGTCGAGGAACAAATTGCGGCAAAACTAGGAGTACCTTACAATGTCACGAGACGCAACATTGCAGACAATAGTAGCAGATGATACAAGCGACCGGTGACAATGTCGTGCGTTTTCTGCAGATGATACTAGCAGACGATAAAAGCGGCTGTTGACAATTTTGAGACATTACAGATAATGAAAGCGATATGGCGGGTAGAACACGTGCTCCACTGTAGATTAGCAATAATGTTCTTCCGATTGAGGATTTAGCAGCGGTAGATGTCAGACTTGTCGGCATGCGCAAAACGCGATTAAACTCACCGCCAAGCGTATCCCTCGCGCCGCCCAGGTGCCTGGGACTCACTAGCAAAGTAATTGGAGGAAGTTGCAGGAGATGCGGTAGCTGCCGCTCGTGAGTCCCAGCCATCTAGTTTAGCTCCTATCCTCGCCGCACGTAGCGGCACGGGGGATACGGTCGGCGGTGAGGCATAGTCACAGACACAGGTCCGCAAGTAACATATCGCTAAGACCCTGTTAGAGCATTTTTTTTTTCTGAGCCGATCCTAGATTTGCAGCGATTTGTTCGTTGGCAGAAAGTTCGACAATGGAAAGTGTCAACGGTGGCTATTATCGTCGTCTGCTACTATCGTCTGCAGTGTTGCGTCTCTTAGAATTGTCAGATAATCAAAAACAATAAGAAACAGGTCCGCAAGTAACATATCGCTGAGACCCTGTTAGAGCATTTGTTTCGTTATACGGAGCCGGCATATTTTTAATTGGACTGCGCCCGGAACGGATATTTCAAGCCGCAATACTGCGAGGGTAGAAGTTCGGAGGAGAGCCCTGGAACGTTTTAATGGGCCAGGCTCCTGAAATTTCAAAAATCACATAACCGCCCCTTGGTCTGCTGATGCTAAAACCCTTGGACTGAAAGCATTAACGTTTAGTGAAAATCGACATCACAGTCCACAGCATTTGCGACATTTCCATCATTTCTACATAATTAAGCGCTCCGTCAACATCTTCAGCGGTCAGCGCAGAGTTGCAATATTCCAAAGGTACAAGCAATAGTTTTATTGTATATGTCTCGCTGTTGGGCGTCGGCCAGATCCCCTGGTCAGTCCTCGCAGCACCATTCTCCTGAGGCCGTGATTACTCTTTACTTTAATCTTAATTATGTAACAACACCTAGACTAGACTAACTAAGTGTCTGGGATTCAAGAAGTTAAAGTTAAGACAAAAGGGCTCTCCTTTCAACTACGGCCGGTAGACAAATGAAGACGGTCAGTTAGTCGGAGATCTCTCCCCTGGCTAAAGTGCTATTACGGACTGGACAGGAGGAAACGAAACAAATGACAGAAGTTAGGGTTAGGGTTTGGGTTAGGGGTAGGGTTTGGGTTAGGTTTAGGGCTAGGGTTAGGATGTGGGTTAGGGGTACTGTTAGTGTTGCGGCATCTCGTCTTCGCACAAACTCAAAGTAGCAACCCAAACCTAACCCACACCGTACCCCTAACCCTAACCCAAACCGTATGATCATAGCAGGGCAGTGCAGGCTGTCTATCGCCAACACACAGTAATTATGTCACTTGTTGTGTTCCCTGCCTTCTAGTCCGGACTCCGTAAAATGCGTCGCAAGAAGCGGTAATTGAACGCGGTCGCTAATTTGAGTCGCAGCGCGGGGTCTGCACGGCACGTCGAGCTCACTTTGTGTTTTGATTCGTGCCTTCTCCAATCCGTAATAGCACTGTAGCCAGGGGAGAAAACTCAGACTAACCGGCCGTCTTCTGTTGTCTACCGGCCGTAGTTGAAAGTAAGGAGAGCCGACAAAAGTTTTAAGAAAACTTACTTCCACCATAGCTTAGCCATCTACAGTAAGGTCCATATGGAAATAATCGCTTGTAATAGAGTGGTAAAAAGTCAGGGAGAATGTTTTGATCATATTCTTGTCCCTCCATTCTCTCTGGCAGCAAACAATTCGGTTCAAGTTACTGCTTCAATGTTTGGTGGTGATTCTTCACTTCTCCCGCGCACTGTTTGTCCTCACTTCAGTCACTTCCGCTTCTTCGTTTTTGTTTACATTCGTATTTCTGCAACCTACTGGTGATAGGACGAGGTTGCTATTTGCACGTTCACGTGTTACTTTTATTGTATGTTGGTAATCTGGCAATCTTAGTTTCAACTTCATAGCAAATGGGTCATCCCATAGCTGCTCCACTCCTGTGCCAACGAAAAACACATAAAATGTTTATCACAGTTCAAATAAAATCCGCAGCTTACAGTGTCACGTCATGCACTCAACACAGAAGCTGGACAACGAAACTATATCCTTCCAGTCTACAAATGGAGCAAAAATGCAACGACACCTTGAACTTGGGTTTCGGACTGCCGACTTCCTACAAGATGTATTTCATGTTATCGTAATCAACGTCACT